CTCCTACGTGTCTGCCCTCGGCCCGGTGGCAACGGCACCTGCATTTCTTGGGGCAACCCTTGTTCACTGGGGCAACTCAAGGCTCCAGAGTCGTGCACTGACCTACCGTGTGCCGGCTGCGACAGCTGTGAAGCAGGCTGGGCAACAGGTGAAACTGTCGAATGGACATGAGCCAGCTTGGGCTCCTTTGGCCCCTTACCCCACACAACAGGCCTTGGAGTCTCTTCAATGGAATACAGGTGTGCAACAAATGAGGCACGCATGTTGGTGTGAAGAGTTCTCAAATCTTCAATTGTTTCAGGCAGCTGCATGTTAACAATAACATGGGCCAAGAATGCCATGGCATGTGCACCACACATTTCATGTTCTGGCAGTCCTTCTGGTATTCTATGGATTGCACTGGTACGAAAATCAAGATAGTCGGCAATGAACTCAATGATTTCTTCAACCAGGTTGGGGTCATCAAGTGCATTCTGGAAGGTGTGAACCTGCAACATGTTACCTCGTGGTGCAAACCACAGTGGCACCCAGTGCCCCTCAACAGCAAAAGCAGTGACAATGTTCTTGCCCTGGGTTCGGACATCCATGTTCATAGAACACCACTTTTCAGCAATCACTTTACCAATGGAGGACCAACAGTTGAAAACCAAGGGTTCCAAATACACAAAAGTGCGCCCCATCAGTGGATTGGGTACTCTCTGTTGATTCACCAAATTAATGATGTGAAAACGGACTTCATCATCAGCCATCGCCATACCATTGGAGTTGATAAGATCAATTCTTTCATCCCTGGTGACATTCACCATGGGTGGCTGACTGACATTGTCATGGCCCGTCTCAGTTCCATCATCACGGTCACCGGCACCCCAAACCCAGGGTCTGTCAGTGATCTGGCAGCGCTGCAACGTCTGGACAAAAACAGACCGCAACATGGCATGGACATTCATTGCTTCTGACTGATCAGCAGGGATGGGTGTTCCCACCAACACATGTCGCAGGAAGGCAATAGCCAATGCACCACACAGGTCAAATGTGGGAAAGCTTCGGTGGTTGTTCTGGAACAGGACATCATTGAATCCCAAACCAACAGCAAGCCTCTGTATAATGGAGTGCACAACCTCATGACATGTGTCCTGTCCATCCCAAGTCGTTACTTGCAGAACATCTTGAACCGGAGCCATGAGCACAGGAATCCAGTGCTTTCCACAAAGAAACGCAGTGATCAACAACATGCTCTTCTGTTTCACTTCAGGGTGGTCATTCGCCCAAAGGATACAGTCAAACCCTTTACCATCCACCCAAGCAGCAGCAATAAGTGGGTCAATCACCCTGACCTGGATCATTTCCTTTGAGAACTTCAATTGGTGATCACGGTGCACAAGGGTAAGCGCGTGAAGGTGAAACCTGATTTCATCATCAGCCCACAGCTGGCCCTGGGCAGTCAAAATGTTGACCCGGTCATCAGTTCTGAAAAACTGGTGTCGGACCGACCATAATTGTTGCACATTGGTGATGGATGGTGCCGTGAGCTTCAAAAATTGGTCACCATGCAGACTCAAAAATGGAGAAGCATCTAACCAGGCTTGACCCGGGGCATTGACACTTGGGAGAGTGCATGAGCCAACATCAAATTTGGACACCTTGCGTGGAGGCGAGGTGATCTCAATTGGGTCTTGAATAGGTTGGGTCCACTGAGCGGTAGGTGAAACAACCCTTTCAGCCCCAACGCATTTCTCCGAAACTTCATCAGGGGTGAAAACAGCTTGCACATGAATGCATTGCCCAACTTCCATGACATGTTCAGAGGTGATCACTCTTCCATTGAGGGTAACCCTTGTGACATGGAACTCCCCAACAAGCTTTGATTGCGCAGCCAAAAACTGAGCTACGGTTGCATCACATTTGGGCTGGAACCTGATCGGCGAGTCCCCTGATCCTTCGAATATGACAGTGCATGAGTCTGCTTGAATACACCCAACAGTGGTGGGGTCATCAACAATGCCAGGGCAATCATACCAGGGGGTGGCTTCCTCATCAGAGCATGAAGCTGGTGCATCTCCTACCGTGGCAGGGACCTGTTCTTGGGTACGGATGATGTGATCAAGAATGGAAGCGATACTCACATTCCCTTCAATCTTCCCATCCCAACGCATCGGATAAAGCAACTCAGCAAGTGACAAGTCCTTGTAACCACTCCAGAATTGAACCATGGCACGAAGCTTAGGGTCATCCACTGGGTCATTGTCACATGGCCAAACCTGCCTGCATCTCATGAGTATCCAAGACCTGTACGCTTGCATCTGTGAGTTTGCATCAAAAACTGGAATCTGTTTCATGGCATCCAGTTTGGCAGCAATGAAGCCAAAAATCCATGAAGCTTGAATTGGGCATGCAATCTGGCCAACAGCAGAGAGTGTGAGACGAACATTCTCACCCAGGTCCAAAACTGGGTCCATGGTATTCAATGCCATGGCTTCGTTAGGATGGAGATGTCTAAATGCCGTGGTGCCATCATGCATTGCGGCACTTCTGACTATACATCCATGAAGACCCTTTGACTCCAACCTTTGGCATGAGAACCCAGTGGATCTACATCCGCAAGGACAGGCCCTGGTTTGTGAACCCCAAGCATGGAGGGCACATGGTGCAACAGACTTTTCGTTCAGCATATGTCGTGCATGAGTATTCTCATTGACTCCAAAAGCTTGTAATTCCTTTTCATCCAGAGCAAGCTGTTTTTCATCATTGGCATCCCACAAGCAAATCCTAGGAATGACTTGTTGAACTTCCCAAATGTTGTTCAAGGAGGGCCAACTGGTGAGATCAATGCTTCCAATCAACGGTGCAGTAATGACCCACCAGGATCTGTGTCTCCTACAGGGCCAAATCTGATCAAGCTTGAGCTCGGTTTGCGAGCAATGGAAACCAGTGCACCTACAAAATCTTTCGATTTCAGCATTGACGAAAGCGTCATGAGCCGCAGGCGCAACGCATTCTAAAATGATCACTGAGGAATACAGAAAATAGGCAGCATTCAGGGCTTTGGTGAGACAACTGGCACGGGTGTCAAGATGGCTCTTGCCATCCCCTAAACGCGAATACGGCTGGCAGCTGAAGCCTGCAGTGATCACAGAGGCACCTCTGGAGTTCTTCCATGTCTCCAGAATGATTTCCCTTTCTCCGAAGTCCCCGCATATGCAATGGGCATCATGAATTTTGGCATGCAAGTCTAACATGCGTTGGTTCTGATCCACGGCAGTGACAACATCGAACCCTGTGGCGATAGCTCCCTGGGCTAATCCACCGAAACCTGAGCAGAGATCGATGACTGCATGGAGTGAATCCCAGGAAGGGTGATAGTGTCCTAAAACCATAGTGTCCTTTGTGGCCGTCAGCTTGGGTACAGGGAACTGGCACATCAGGCAAACCTTGAAAAGGGTGAAAGCTGTATATCCTTCATTCAGGTATCCCTCATAGACAAATGTCACATCGCCAGTCCTTGAAGTGAGAAGGTGACACACATGTTCGGGGTCGAACACCTTCACATGACAAACCACATCAGTCAATCCACCATTTGGAACATCCGAAAATCCCATGGAAAAGTTGCATGCCATGGCGAGACAGGGTAATCAGTCAGCCCACGTTCGGCAAGACCAGCCGTACTACTGGGAAGCTTGGGCAGTCACGGCTGTTCCAAACCACCAACCAGATAATAAAAAATAAAGGACTCAACCACCAGCCCCAAAGAAATGGTAGAGGTCCCAGCTGGCCGGCAAGACATCACGGATGGTGATCACAAAATTGCTGATCCCTACCCCAAAAAGAATTACAGGAAATATTCCAGATGGATTCCCGAAAAATGTGGATTTCCCATTGGAAGAATAAACAAACTCATCTTCAGCAAATCCAGAAGATTAGAAAAAGAATGCATATTGACACGAATGAATTAGTGAAGCACGCAAAAGAAATCCCATCCAAGCCAGCCCAATCAATCAAATCGAAATCATTGAGATCACAAGCAATATTCAATAGTCCTCTCTTGGAAAAATAAGTCTGATATTTGACATTCTCAAAGCTGAAACAAAGCTATTCCGATCTATTCCGCTATTCCCTTCTGTTTCCGAATTCCAAATGGCAAAAACATAGTCACAAACTCACCTCATAAATGCAAAGCCAGGAAAAATGGAGACTTGGGGGTTGAACCCCTGAAAACATCCCATCATTAGCCATGGAGTCCATATTAATTACCCCCCAACCATCAACCATTCATAGGCTGACAACAGATGAATAGGCCATGAATCACCCTCATTGAAGAGTCAGATCCCCATCGCTGGTTGTATCCCTATGGAAAACCTTGAAAAGTTGGCTACTTCAATCCCCATGAATCCACATTCAGTAGGGTTTCCCATATTGGATCATGATCATCCCCAGTATATCAAGGGTAGGATAACCCCTGAACTAACCATCAACCAACCATCATTTATCGAGTGTATACCATCTGAAAATCTTAAGGTTGGCTATTTCAATCTCCATAAGAATGTCAACCCCGGATTAACAAACCACTAGGCTGTTTGATTGGGCAGGTACCAGTTGAGATTACCACTCTTTGGGGAGTACCCTCTAATTTTCATAAACCATGCTGGTTGGTGATTTCAACCCCCTCTGAAAAATATGAAAGTCAGTTGGGATGATGAAATTCCCAATATATATATGGAAAGTCATAAAATTCATGTTCCAAACCACCAACCAGTCATGGTTTAGCAAAATCCAGGGTTGACATTCACTATCAAAATCTCAGGATGTTATCTATTTTCATGTACCTATCACGTATCATAATATCATAATATCATGTTATCATGTAAATCCAGGGTTTCGCAAATTCCAGATGGTTGTTTTTTTCCCTTTCCTGGGGAATTCCTCTGATAAACCATGGTTTTTCCACCCCCCAGGAGCTGCCCAACATCGCCAGGCGCTGTCGACGTCGTCTACGTCCCAGCAGCTCACCGCCCAGAGCTGCGGCCGCAAGACATCGCCCTCGCTGGGCAAGAGCTGCCCCTCCGAGTAGAGCTGAGAACCTAAAAACCGCAGAGGAACACTTCACAAACGCTCAGCCATTTGAGCCATTAAAAATACCCCTATCCCATCTCATGAAATACTAGTTGGTTGATAGGTTTCCCTACTATGGGTTATCATAATCCCCAGTAAACCAGGTAAACCATAATCCCCTATAGCAATCAATTAACCAGGGTATTTTTAATGGCTCATTTACAGCCATCGTTGGGGATATGGTTGGTGGCTATGGAGGAATGGTTTGGCCTGTGGCAAACTCACCTTTGCGATGGGAAAATCACTCACTGAGAGCAAAATCATGATCTGGTTGGTGGTTAAAAAACATCTAGAAAAATATGAGTTCGTCAATGGGAAGGATGACATCCCATATATGAAATGGAACATAAAAAATGTTTGAAACCACCAACCAGTATTGTTGGGGATATGGTTAGTGGCTAATGAGCCAAATAAATTCGTTACCTTTCTATCTTTGGGGGGGCTGCTATGGATGAGCTATATGACGAACTTTCCCGTGAGGAATTTAAGGAGGATCGTCCCGAGAGTCAGCTAGAAAGTCATTACTTACGTAGTCTGACGTCATTACTTACTACACTTACTACCACTACCATGATTGCCAAATATCTGTCATGATTGATGATTTGTTTCCAGCCCAGATAGGGACTGTCGAAAAAAAAAATCTTTGCTGCGATGATTGTTGGCTTCATGTCGATTTGATCCCCATGTTCATGTTCATTGGTTTTGATCTTGCCATTTTTTGTAAACGTTTACATAACGAACTGGAAAATCACCATGCTATTAATGGGAAAACCATAGGAAAACCATAGGAAAATGGAGGTTTACCCTCTGGTAAACTAACATAACTATGGAAAATCACAATTTAAATGGGTAAATCAACTATTTCGACTGGGCCATTTTCCTATGTTAGTCATTACCAGGCCGGGTAGTCTTCATTCCATCCGATTGGTTTTTAAAAAAATGCAAAAATTTCTGGCTGGCTCAATTCAATGGTAATTCCAGGATCCTAAAATGGAGGTACCTACCATATATAAGGCCTATATAAGGCCTATGTAAGGGAATATCACCACAAAATATGGCCTTATATGGTACAGTACCTCCATTTTAGGATCCTGGAGATCTCCCATTGATCAATCCCCACCTGAAAAATGTGTAAAATCTACGACTTGTCGTCGTGTCAAAATGCTCCTTGTTTTAACAAGGTTGGACATCTTGGTGTTCTTCGTTGATACCCAACTGCACATACCCATAGGATCCATGGTGCTGGTATATATGCTAACATGACTGGGGTATATTGATGGTAAATGTTACCATATATACCATACATGGATCCTATGGGATATGATGTTCAAAAAGAAATAGTTTCTATAGCTAAACAACGAGTGAAAACAAATAGTGTAGATTTTACTGTAGCCTCCAGTAAACGTGGCTAGCTGGAAAATCCGCCAACTAGCCATGGAGCTTTCTGTCGCGAAAATCATCGCACGCCAGGTTTCACGACACCGGAGGGTACCCGACCTGGTAAACTAACAGTTTGCTATTGAAAATGGTCATAGAAATAGTGGATTTACCCATTAAAAATAGTGATTTTCCATAGTTATGTAAACGTTTACCGGAGGGTAAGGTTACAGCCCATCCAACTATCCTATACTATCCTCCATATCAACCCCAACCATTGCTGCCCGGCAACGGCGTGCGCACAACTGGTCCGGCACGCTCTCGTCGTCCACGCTGTCCACGCCAGTGATCACCTGTTTGTCGCTGAAATTCTGGGGTTTTACCATTGGTCGATGCGATTTTTCATGGATGTCTCATGGCTGTTGGAAAGGATGTTTCCTGAGTTCTGCTAATATTTAGTGGATGTTTCCTAGATACCCGGCCTGGTAAACGTTTACATAACGAACTGGAAAGATCCACCATGCTATCAATGGATAGATCCACATAATAATCGCCATTTTCAATAGCTATGTAACAAATGACCAGAGGGTAACTCATCCATTTTCCTATGGTTTTCCTATGGTTTTCCTATGGTTTTCCTATGTTTTCCTATGGTTTTCCTATGGTTTTCCCATTAAAACAAAATGTGTCCCCATCATCAGTGGATCATCAGTGGAACTAAACCGATGCCCATCCACTCACAACTCGCCAGGTGACCGGCAGAACTTCCGCCAAGTCAGCGTGACTGGCCTTGGGCGTTAGCATGTTAGACCCATGACCCCCATTGATGCACCCTGAGGATGAACCAAAGACCAGAAAAGTTGGAGATTTCATGAGGAGTTTGGGTTCCCACCAAACGTATCCAGTCTTTTTTGTGGGTTGCACGAAAAGCTAAACAAAAGTGTTGAAAGCATCCTGGGGATTTTTGCTGCATTTTTTTTCGACCGCCTGGACTCTGAAGACCGACTGGAATCAAATTTAGGACTCCTTTCATGAAGCGCCAGTGGCGGATATGTAATGCAAGCTTTCTCAATTGGACCATTGGTATATCCAATCAGCTGTTGAACTTGAGCTGAACGAGAGATGTTCTTGCTGCAATGTAGTCTGTGATGACTTGTGGTCACAAAATATTCAGTTCTTGAAAGGTTTTTCACGTCCAAATTTGCAGTCATCCTCAAGTACTCAATGGGAATTCCAGGGTCGTAAAATGAAGGTACTGTACCATATAAGGCCATATTTTGGGTGTATATCCCCTTACATAGGCGTTATATATGGTAGGTACCTCCATGTTAGGTTCCTGAGATGGCCATTGAAGTACCAGAGTTTACAGTGAGACAGGAATAAAAGTCAAAGAGGATGTGGCAGTGCAGCAACATCATATGAAAACATGAGGGATCATATTTACAGTCAATTTAGATGTCTGTATGTGTGTATATATGTATATATATATATATGCTAGCCCCCCCCAGAGCCAATGTTTGAATGGATGCGATTGAGACAGATGATGCATGCCAGCAAGCAGACAGATCAGAACTGGTTAATGTTTCCGTGCAGGTGACTGCATGATATCACATATGTTGGGAAGCAGACAGATAGCCATGTGAGAAGTGTTGGGATTTAGTTTGTTGCAAGGCACCCATGTAGCAGAAGACATCTTTTTTGCGGAAGCAGACAGATAGCCATGTGAGAAGTGTTGGGATTTAGTTTGTTGCAAGGCACCCATGTAGCAGAAGACATCTTTTTTGCGCGCTCGCCAGCAAAGATTTATCCACCCGCCTGGACAGTGGATGCCATAAACCACTGAACCAACACTCCAGTGTCGATCCAGAGATCTTGGCCACGACGCCAGTATTCATACTGGGCAGATCGAAGCTGAAGCTTCAAGAGTTGGCTGCCAACACGGCTGTGTTGATTGATGTTCAGCCGGGCCTTCAAAAATTTCCAACAACGATCGATGATTTGGGTGCCTGACTTACATTTGATAACCTTTTTAGAGCCAGGCACCTTGTGGCGCTGCATTTCCACATACTTGGGCGCAATCCAGCGGAACTTTGTTCCTACTTTCACGCGCTTCTTCTTATGTAGGACACGATCATGCAGGACATCAGGTACCTTGAGCTTGTAGCTCTTGGCCGAGTCGGTGTGTAGAATGATTTGACGACCCTGCAGCCATTTCTTCGCAAGCGGTTTCCATTCAACTTTTCGCACGGCACCTGGGCCTGGAGCTCTGGCCTTGCCAGCTGGGGGTGTAAGGCGGTGAAGTACCAAAGTAGAGGGTTGGCCTCGTTGAATGATGCCGCACCATTGTTCCCACTCCACCGACTCACCTTTGACCATTCTGTCAAAGGTAGCCTCATCGGCTTCCACATCGGCCCACTGCTGAGACTTGCCAAAGATAATTTCCTTCTCCTTTTTGAGGACCCAAGAGGCCCGGAGCTGGTAGAGGCGCTTCTGCATGTCTTCAATGGCCTTGTGATTGATTTGAAGCAGGCGGTGGATTGCCGCATGTTCGACATTGTTCAAAAGCAGCATGAGCATGGCAGCCTGTGTGGACAAAGGTGTGCAGCCAGAGCCAGTGCCTTCCACAAAGATGGGGTGAGCATGGTGAGGATTGATGCGCTTCAAGCACTTCCAGTAGGTAGAAGATTATCCGCACGTAGCATAGACACCACAGAGGATACAGAACACTTCACCACATCCACCAATGATCTCTTCCATGCGTGCCTGTCACCACGTGGCGGTACCTGTGCCTCAAGGTCTCGCACATAAGGGACTTGCTGCCAATTACCTTTCTTCTTGTGGGCAGGCCTCTTCAACACTTGCCGGGCACGTCCACGCTTCGGCACACGCGGATTGAAGCTTTTCGCCATGACAGAGACACGTGCAGAGGATGCTAGAAGAACCACAAAACTACAGAGGCACGTTAAGGTATGTAGTCAGAAGTGCATGTGGAAGCAAAAGTAACGGAACGGCTATGACAACGACCATGCAAACAGCAAAGCAAAACATACTGCTCATCTTTTTCATCATAGCTCGATGTATCAACGCACGGACAAGCTACACGACAGCTTCGTGAAGTGTAGTTCAATCTGGTTCTATCTCCTGTCCGATTCAGTGATCTTCGAAGCTGGCAGCGGTCCACAAACAAAGTTTCAAAATTGAAGATGTCTTCTCTCATCAGTCGACTAGTCCTCATCAGGACCCTCGCCCACAGGTGGCATACCATCTATCTCATCCATGAAGCTCACCATGTCATTCTCTAAATCGATTGCTTCCTGCTCCTCATGTTCAAGCAAGCCCAACTCAGCATTTCCAGGATTCATGACAGGACAAGAAGGCATGGCAGGCAAGGATGGCAAAGATGATGCAGGCGCTGAAGGCCGAACCTTTTTGCAGGAGAAGGAGAATCGAGCTCAATGACGGTGGTGACAGGGCAACGCTTCAAGTGCTTCCAAACGTGGTTGACCTTTTCACGCTTCACTTGCAATGCAGATTCTGCTGTGGGAAGAAGACGTGGAGCTTCTTGCATCTCGCGCACATTCTCGTCGAAAAGGCCACGTTGACGAACAGTAATGGTTCTGGCAACTGGTTCCCCTCGAAGAAGTTTGCGAAGCAACTCTTGGGACCAGATAGAGTCTGCATGATATCCTTCAGGAAGAACATGAGCTTCAGGATCTGCCTTGTAAGCCTTGAAGATCGGTTTGTACTCAGGAGCCAAGATGTCCTTCATCTGCGGATTCTGCCAAGCGATGAAATCGACATTGCCCTTCTCAGTGCTTGCAACACGGTAGTACACCCCGTTCTCGGTCAAGACGATGACGTGCATACGAGCCAAGATTGCTGCCATGTCCTCTGCATCCTCGACACCAGTGAAGGAAGGAGCAATCAAGTCGAGGAAGTCCTTATGTTGAATGTTCCAAAAACCTGTGCTCTGCATCTTTTCGAAGAGCTCACAATCAAGAACATGGTTGTAGGGGTTGTTACAAGCATGACGTCCAGAACCCTGGTCGAATTGCGCCGAGGAGTAGCGAGCCCACACCGTGGCATCTTCTTCCTTAGTACTTTGAATGTGACATGTGTTTGGATTAGGTAAGGTTTGATGTGAAAGTATGAAAGGAACGAGAAACAGCCAAGTGTGCAAGCCATGCCAAAGAAGTATTTTTTAATGTGACAGAAGCAGCTATACACGTCACCATAAACAGCCAAGTCGCCGAAGGATTCAAAAAGGCCTTGAGGAAAGACGAATCCATCCGTTGTAGCACGCCGTCATCGAAGACCCCTGGCTTGAACTTCGTGATCGGCTCGGCTTTAAAGAAATCAAGGTGCTTGGCAGTCACAATGGAAGGTACAAGATCTTCTCGATCAGCTTGTGTGATCTCGAACTTGGATTGAGCAAACAGAATGGTTTTGGAGCCCAAAGATTTTCCGACACGAGTACGCCCGATCCATGTGATGGCGTGCTGCCGCATGGTTGGGAGCATCTTGACAAGGATCTCGTCGAGAAACCATGCCACAAAGCTTTTCAATGTCAATGGCCAGTACTGGATCGTCTTTGCATTTTGCCGACCACGATAATAGTTGTGAAGGGCTTCCTTCACCTTTCCTTCCTGCCATCCCTCCAAAGGACCACCGGGACAATGCACTTGTTCGTCAATCCATTCCATGAATTGGTTCATGTTGTTCGAGCGAGGACCATGTTCTCGAATGAATCGGTACCCAGACTCTCGAGCACTCTGATCTAAAGTGTGCTTCTTCTCAAACTTGGGGGCGAGGGTCCAAATCCGAATCTGCATGCCGCCGGTGCGATCCAACATGTTGTTGAGTCCAGCTAAAGCCAATCGAGTCTGTTTCCCCCAATCGAAGCAGACAGGAGCTCCATGACAAAATGATACGCAATCAGCAGATGAGACTTTGTTTTTGTGCAAGTAGATGTGCTTAAAGATGTCCACAAAGTCCTGCTCTTTGTCTGGTGGAAGGTAGGATGGCACAATGACGATCTGCAGACTATAAGGTACCTTGGGCTCGGCTTTCAAATTGAATGGTTCTGGTAACTCTCGATATTTGGCCTGGGCACAGAGAGGGTACACAGTCATGTCTAAGAAGTTAGCATCGATCTTGAAGTTGCCCTGGACTGGGAAGTTCTGCACGATGTCAGCAAACTGTTCGAGCTTGCCTCCTATGCCATCCATGTCACGAAGAGGAAGATCGATGAAGCAAACATCGCCGACCGGTCTGTTTGATTTCAATGGCTTTGCTTGCGGGCCACAAAGCTTCAGACCTTGTACCTGGACGCACGATTCTTCGAAGGTGAGAACCCCATCACGTTCTCCCAGTTCATGCCTGAAACTGTCCACGAAGTTCACATCGATGTTTGCCATTGGATCAAAGACAGAAATTTGCACTATGAGCTAACCAGGTCTTGAGAAAATGAATGCCAGCTGACAGGAATGATGACATTGCAGAAGCAACAGACGTGAAGAAGGCATGTGCATTATGATGAATCAGTTGCAGGAGCATTGTGCCGAACAGACTTATCATATTACATGCTTGCAACATTGTTTTGAATTTTCCTGTTTTAAAGAAAAAACCTTTTTAATTTGTAACATTAGAAGACTAATCACACGAGGCTAACCTTTTTTATTTTCTAAAACTAAAGTAGGACTCATACGAGGCTAACAGAGCAACCTTTTCCTTTCACGCAGAGCAGGCTCACAAGTGCATTGCTGTTCAAAGTGTACTACGCCAATTGCGATGATACACTGACAGAACAGGTGACTAAGGCACACCGGAGTTGGAAAAACCAAGATTTGTCACGCGTGTTTCTTTTGTAGCTTGTCTTATCACAACCTGTATCCATGTCATCAACATGTATATTGATGTTATTGGCTTATCCACCACTTGACTTTGTATTTCTTTGGATCACACTTCCTTCATTGTACACTTCATTCATTATTATATTTGTATCTTAATTTGGAACAATTGATTACCATACATTCAACAATATCATAAACTATTGTAAATATCATGGTAAAGTAATAAAACCTTGGCTTGGGGGGGGGGGTACCATATATATATATATATGTGTCATTGTTTATAGAGAATTTAGTCATATTATATATTCATTGATCAATTACTGCTTCATTTAGTTTTTAGTTTTCCTGTCAAGATTGCTAGCTACGAGTAGTTTACCATTATACTCCCATTAGTACCTCATCTGCCCATTATATGATCCCTGTATACTGTCCTGTACAATTACTTACAGATTGGACACCATCAATGTGACATACGAACCTCCCCATTATCTCCACATTATATATATACACATTATAATGCTGTTATAATTGTGGGACTTTATAGTAGTAAGTAGTAATTTCCAGGATGCCAGCTCGATGATGGAGGTTAGCATGTTATATAGATGTTTTTCGCATGTTCCTCCATACTTTCTTCCAGGATAGCTCAATGATAAACCCAAAATCCGTTTGTCTGAACTTGGGGATACCCAAAGTGGTATTTTTTACATAGTTTAACGATGTTAAACGGGGAAATTTATCATGAACCATTAATTTTTTTTTCGCTTAACTGTTCAGACAAAGCCAGTGATCCTCAAACTCACCGCAGCCAAGGTACAGGGTCGAGTGCCACCTTCCGGCTGGCGGGAATCAACGATGTTTGGTTGTAAACAATCATAGGGAAACAAAAGGAATACAGTACCCATAGGATCCATGTATGCCATATATGGTAACATTGGGGGTATATTGATGGTAAATGTTACCATATATAACATACATGGATCCTATGGGGTATGATGTGGGTATACATCATCAACCATGTGATTCTGACGGACTTTGGTTTTTTTGAAAGTGGCTAAATGTGAATGTTATGCCTCCGGATCTATGGTAATTCAATCGGGAAATTGATGATTCATCAATGGATTGTGTCCCCCAGTTTCAGAAAGTTTCAGACAAACCCATTTCTAGCTCAGGTCATTTACGAACAAAATACCTAACGACATTGAACGTTGTCCATCTTTTCCATATACTGTACTTCATTGTACTTGTGTTTCATCTCAATTCATCTCAATTCATCTCAATTCATGCAACTTTTCACAGGAGTCTGTCGACGTTATCTCACAACTAGAGAGAACTGATGCAACTTTTCACATGATGTTACCCTCCAGTAAATTAACAGTTCGACCCTGCCAGATAGGGGTTGGAGGATTCGTTTCCATTAAAAATTGGTGATTTTCAGGGTCAACAAGTTAATTTACCAGAGGGTATTCCAAAAAGTTGACTTATATTCAGGCCCCATGGCTCCACTACAGGAGAGGTGGACATGATTCATACCCGGCCTGTAAATTGTCCAAATAGCTATTGAAGCCATGGCACATAGAAATGTTATTGATTTACCCATTAAAAATGTTGATTTTCCAATCCTCCTGGGAATTTAGCCATTAAACATGTTGATTTATCCATTAAAAATGGTCATGTTCCATAGCTATGTAAACGTTTACCAGAGGCTAAAATAACACTTGGGGGATTCAATTACTGACTGTCGCCTGTCGCCTCTGAAAATCCATTGGGATGGACCTCAAAAAAGAAGAAATTTGGGTTCAAAAAAAAAATGTTCGCCAAATATTCTGGGATTATATAATAATAGTAGTTATAATACCAATAATAGTGGTTGTAATACCAATAATAGTGGTTATATATGATGATTAATGATGGGATATATGATCATACTGGTTGGTGGTTGACCTACCCCTCTGAAGAATGATGGAGTTCGTCAGTTGGAATGATGACATTCCCAAGATATGGAAAGTCATAAAAATATATTTAAAAACCATGTTCCAAACCACCAACCAGATCATCATATGTTCATCTATTTTCCGTATCAAAATTGTGATTTTAAGTGAATGGTGTGGCTCGTTCGGCCATCTCGGCCTTCAGATCGGTGCTGTTCCCCAGTTCGTTGCTATCATCATGGCGTATCTTAGACGCCCTGCAAACAAGAAAAATCATGATGCTTGCTGGCTATATAACCAGATGTGTCCCAGTCATGTTCAGTCGAAAAATCGGCCAACAAAAGTCTGAGTAAGTGTTACTTTACCAGTTAATATATATATACATATTATGTACATATTATGTACATATTTATATATTCTAGCCTTCACCAGTTACTTTACAAAAATAACGGGTCAAGTGATACATCCGAAAACGGGTGAAATCATCCCGGTCAGACGGCCTCGAAGAGGGGTTGAAAGATGTTGTTCAGCAGCTCCTGACGGTCATGCTATTTTTTTTGGAATATCACTTACACATTCACCAACAATACCCATAGGATCCATGCTATATATGGTAACATTTACCATCAATACACCCCAGTCATGTTAGCATATATGCCATACATGGATCCTATGGGATATGAGATTTATAACTTATAACATGTTGTAATTAAACAATATGTACATAATATATGTACATAATATGTGTATATATATATATATATATTATATTTATACATTCAGAGCAGTGTTCATAAGCGAGGAACACTGGAATCATGGTGATATTCCGGGATGGGACATCATGGGGGAAAAAAGTACAAACCAATTTTGTACAGAACTCAATTTGTAGGCATTTCAACTGTGAAATGAACTTGGATATTGAGGCTTGAGATTATGTTGAAGTTAAATAGTTTTTTATCATAAACTGGAATATCCACGGCATATAAACTGGAAAAAGAAGGGCATGTCACCAAACAAAAATCATAGGTGTGGGTTCACTCAAACTGTCATTCCGTAAAATACTGCTTTGCTTAGAATGGGATTCCCAGTTCGTGGACCATGATCCAACAGGGGTGCCTTGCAGTCCCAAGCCCATTGAACCTGGCCGAAACAATTTTCTTAAGTGGAAATAGGCAGTGGTGTTTTGGATTACCCCTATCCAACTATGAAGAATGAGGGGTAATGAGATAATAGATAGTCATCTATAGTATAATGAGATAATAACAATAAACTACATAAAAATAATCTATAGTATAATGAGATAATTAATACCAATATATAACATAATTATAACAACAATACAAGTGATAGCTGTTGTTGTTTTGGGATAGTGCAGCCCATAACTCGGCCAGCAAATGTGGTCACAACCCACTCGACTCCGATTTTTCGGAAGGCACCCGAAATCTTGATCAGCTGATCAAATACCAAGCACATTCAGGCACCCGGATTTTGCTTGTGTGTGCGTTTTTTTTTTTAATATGTTTGTGTATATATAACTGGTTGGTGGTTAAAAAAACATCTTGAAAAATATGAACGTCAATGGGAAGGATGACATCCCATATATTATGGAAAAAAATGTTCCAAACCACCAACCAAATAATATGTGTATATTATATATAATATATATATATGTAGTGATTTTTGTTTCACCATGTGACAATGTCAAACATGAGATATCTCCGACGCAAGCGAAAAAAACAAATGTATCAGACAGTATTCACCATACTGATTCAGTACAAACTCTGGTGCGATCATCTAATTACGACTACCCTCTTGTAATTTGTATAACATAGCTATTAAAAATGGCCCGTTTATAGTTGACTACCTACTAAAAGTGGTTATTTTACAATCTTAGACACCCTACCAAAAAAAAAGAAAAAAAACTTAGCTGGTGAACGTAGATAATCCCATTGATACCCAGCCAGACTAGTTAGGATTAGTTTCTACCCATCTAAGATTGAACTAGTAATTACGACTATAATGCGCAATCTCTACCATTCCCGTAGCCTTAGTCGCATTGCAACACATTCTGCGAATGTCACCTCCACTGTGAATGCTGAACAGATCCAGTGAGCTGATCCAAGCTATGATTGGATTATCTTAACACTTATCTTAACTTATCCAAGATGATCCAATTACCAACAATTATATATATATATATATAAACTTATCGCAGTTACCAGTTCTACAAGATCTTCACTGACCATCCTGTTGGGTTCCAGCACTTCCCAACCTCGAAGTTGCTGACCAAACCGGCTTTGTGAAAGGCCTCGGGACCGCTCCCCCGACCGATGCGACCGCCAGATGATGAACGCAGCTCCGGTGAATTGATTCCAGAATGTCCCAGAAAATCGAAGGGAAAAAATGGAAAGTCAAACCACCAGACATGTATACATATATATATATACAATATATATATATATATACAAAATATATATATATACAAAATATATATATTCATATTTATATTGCTTGATATAGGCTGATGTCATATTCCATTCGAAAAGTCAGACCTCAAAGGCGCACATTGTGGGACGAGAGTCCCACAACCGTGCTGCACAATGCTTCTCCTACCTCCCATGGGCAAATAAGTGATTCCTTTCAAGCCAGAGAACCCAGTACCAAACCTATCTTGGGATACTTTTTACAACCCATTTCTGCTAATACTGGAGATTGTATGAGATTGTTTACTATTGAGTTTACAATTTTAATAAAATCATTGAAATCATTCACACTCTTCTGAGACTCTTTGTCAAATTGAAGAGGAAACCATCTGAGTGGGTCAGCCCTTTTGCAACCCAGTCACACCAAAAACACGTGGGATCTGAATCATCCACAAGTTCCTCCAGAATCGACTTCGGCGACATCCCTGTGGTCCAAAAAACCTGGATGATGCCCATGGAATGCCATGGGAATGCCATAGCTAGCCTCAAATGCTCGTTGTAGAAGTTTCTCAGGGAAGCCTCAAGATACCTTTTCAAACAGAAAAATTACGGACACCATCCGGTATGTTTTAACACTTTGCGAACTGGAAAAATTACCCATTTAGCGATGAGTTTACCCTCTGGTTATTTGACCATGGAAAATCACCATTGTTAATGGAACATCATCCTAAATCATCTATGGGTCATTTCCCCTGGTTGGTGGTTTGAACCCCTCTGAAAAATATGAAAGTCAGTTGCGATAATTATTCCCAGTCAGTTGGAGACGATAAAAAATGTTCCAAACCACCAACCAGATGTACCTATCAAAAATCATGGATTCTCCACAAAGCCTCAAAAAACTAGCGCAGTCCTGGAGGCCGCAGCTGGCCTCAGGCCCAAGTTGTCATCCATTGGTCATGTTTTGAAGTGAAAAGACGTTGGGAGACGATAGGGAAAATCAATGGTGGGGTCGCCCCCATTCCAAAACAACCATATATAATATAATATTATAATATAATATTATAATATTATATTATAATATAATACAATACAATATAACATAATAGAATATGATATGATATAATATAATATGATGTAATATGATATAATATAATATAATGTAATGTAATATAATAAATATGATATGAAATAAAATGATATATTATATAATTTATAATATATAGTATATAGTATACAATATTTAATATATGATATATATAATATAGTATATAATATAATATAATATGAAAATAATATATCATGTAACATAATATATAATTTAATAATATATAATATTATAATATAATATTAAAAAATGTAATATATATTAAATATATATATATATATATATAATGATCATATAATTATAATTTATATAGTACAATATAATATAATATAATGAAACAAACATTATATAATATTTAAAAAACAAAATATAATATAATATAATATAATATATATATAAACAATATTATGTGAACAAATGAATCCTTGTTCTGGATGTAGTTATCACTTGCGATACCTGTTATGCCAGTATTGCCGGGCACTGATGATGCATGGCTAGCGCAGCTCGGATCCTTTTCCTCGCACACGGACTTGAGCCAGTACGGCGTCCAGATATACAGTTAAGCATGTATATCCCAAGTGTCCTAGTGTTTAGTTCCCTTTGACACCCCCCATGCCCGTGGTGTTCTTCGAACCACGGACACGAGAGAGGGAACTTTGAATTAGAATGTCTCTGCTACTTGAATTATGCCTATTTACATAAAACAAGCCATTCGGCTCCCCCTTCCCCACATACCCGAAGGGAATAATGGTTCAGGGTTCGCCTACTCTATGGCTGTCGATGCATCGGCGTTTCATCAAGCTGTACAACGCGAATTATTGCTAGCTAACATCTACTTTTCTATGTTGGCTAAGCTTACCACTCACCCGTCGGGAGAAATGGGTCACTTCGCTACCAAAGATTTATGATGCTAACTAACGAATTCACGTGCACATTGCAGAATTTCCGTGCAGATTGGGAATATCAAAAGTCTTGAACCTAAGCGAATTAGTCTACTGCCTCGCTCAGAGTCCACTCAGTTGGTCTTTTCCTGATCATCTGTTTACAAAGACGATACACATCTTGTAGTCCAGTGACCATTTTGACGGACAGAGGTAATAAGTTCACTGCTCACGGCGGACTTTCTTCCATTGAGGTGCTGTTGGAGTTCTCTCCCATCCTGCCGCACGTTTCGGAGCAGCTTTCGGCGATGAAGGCTTTGCAGGCGGTGCCTTTGATGGTTCATGGGATTTCGGCATAGCCTTGCCCTTTGGTGCACTAGCCGATGAGGATGATGCTGAACCAGTGCCTTCAGGTGTCTGTGAAGGTTGCGCAGGTGGTTTAGCAAACTTGGAAGCTGCAGTATGTCCAACCGCTTTGAATACTTCACTCACCACTTCGTCGCCAAGGGTTGGAGCCATCTTCGTTTTCATCTCGGTCTTTCCCCTCTGCGCCTCGGCCTCGGCCAGCTGAATAGCATAAGCCATCTTGCTGACAAAGTTTTGAGGTAAAGGAATGCCACATTGTTGGGCGGCAAAGAGCAGTTCTACTCTCTGTTCTTTCTCCCTCAGGCTCAGATATACCGAGAAAGCTGGGAGTTCGATGCAGTTGGGGAAGCCGTGGCTCCCGGAGCGAAAGAAGGTGTAGGACTCGTGCTCCGGAAAGGTTCCTTTGAGCAGTCGTCGAAGGAAGTTGCTGATGGTTACTCGCATCTCCTGTTTCCCTTGGGCATCAGCCTGCATTCGGTTCATTGGCATGAGGAAACCCAATGATTCGGGAGTGTACCCGGCGCAGACCAGAAATTCCATCATCTTTTCATAGATCTCTAAATTCTTGATGACAGGCATCATCATGTTTCTTGGTCGTCCTGAGTACATCTTCTCTCCCTCTGACCAGGAGTTCCTTTTCCCTTTCTCCTTAAAGAGTTCATCCAATTCCAGCTCTGTCGGCCGCTTGAGGTTGCCGTCCGGGTCTTCGCCTGTGTATGGGCAGAAGTCGTCCAGGTCCAGCCGGACTCGCCTTGTTTCCGTCATCATCACATGGTACGCCTCTGGGGTCATAGTGACTCTCTGGTTGTAGTAGTGCCTGAACATTGTGATGACCTTTGACATGACAGCATTGTCATACAAGTGAGCCGCGGCCTCGGAGACATCATTGTTGATAAGACCGTCTTCTGGCATACCCTTGCTGCCGCTCTCAAGATTCTTGGTCCATGCTGGAAGTTTGGTAGAGGGCTCATCATCAGGTTCGACGTCCATTTCATCATCGTCTTCTTCAATGATTTCGTCTTCTTCCTGTTGAGCTTCCTCCTCCTGGTCCATTTCCTCATCGTCGCCTTCATTGTAGTCGACCTCGTCAGGATTGAAACCATAGTCGTTGGATTCGGATACGTTTTCTTGTGCTTGATTGACCGTATCCTTGAACAATGATTCTTCTTGTCGACGAACTTCTTCATCGAGCTCTTTCTTTGTGGCCTCATCTTCATCGTCTTCAGGAGCTTGTAGCCGATATGGACGAATCCCGCAACTCTCGAGTTCTGTCCAGCAAACTATACACACTGCTAGCTTTGTCGGCGTCTCATTGATACAGTGAGGACAATGGCGGCAACCTGAAGTTTGCACCCTTTTGCGTTCGACTATGTAGTCAATCAGCTTGATGCGGGCCAGGTATTGTTCTTGTCCGCCAGGCTCGATGAGGTTGTTCTTGAATTGGTTGACGATGTTCATGGCATCCATGGCAATCTCGTCAAACGGTTGGTCTTCGGCGTCGATGCACTGACTTGCAACTCTCAGGATGGACTCCTTGGTGGCTACCGTTCTTGATTTGATAGTTCCAGACCGGACTACCTGGTCGTCGCCCGAAGGGACGAACAACCGGAGCCATGTCTTGTTGTACTGATCCTTGGGGTCCTGAATCCATCCTCCTTTGATTGCTGAGAATGGGATGATCCTTGGTGAAACGATCTGTCCCGAGTCAGTTAGTCGACCGCCATATTCCACCATCAAGGTCTCGGTCGGGATGAACAAGCATATGTAGTCACCCTTACGCGTATCAACGCTCTTCGTGATGGTCCATGATCTGTGATCCCATGGGACGTACGGGTTGAAGAACGTGAACATCCGATGACCTTCTCCAAGACCTCCCGGAATTAATCCTTGCCTCCAAATGCTTCGAAGGTTGGTCTTCTTGGTGATGTGGAAACAAACCGGTAATGACAAAACAGTGTTGGGTGCGATTGGATGTGAAAGCAGCGAGGACAGCAATGAAACGTCGTCTCTTGAAGATCCTTCTTTGTGCCCCGTAGGAGCACGAACCGCCACTGGATAGAGCAGTAGACCTTCATCAGGAATGTGCGTATCCGCATCGACATTGTTGTCAATGCACGTCAGGCTGCGGCGATCAATATCCTTGTTGATCCCAAATGCCAAAACTTGTTCACGCACACGACGTCCATACCTGGCACAGTGGAACATGATCTTGAAGAGCAATGTCATGCGAAAGTTCGCCTCGTCGACATTCCATGCCCTCTGATCATTTGCTCTTCCCTTTGGGGCAAGGAATACATGTGGCCAGCGTGCATAATCGTGCCTCCAGATGGACTCACATTTGAGCACTTCCTCGATGGGCACCCAGCCGGCGTCATCACAGGGCAGACTCTGTTGCTCTGATACCTTCCCCACATTGTGCCGTAGGATCCTGTTCAGTGAGGCACTCACCTTGTCCTCGTAGGTGTCGAGTCGGTTGCCAGTTTCGAAGCGGTAGTTGGTCGCATATTCCACGCCGCCAAAGTAGGAGCAATTGAAGAAATGGGCCCCTGTGGTTGGGATGATTTTCAAGAAACCATCTTGCGGCGCCTCGACACGTTTGTAGAAGGTCTTCCTGATGTTGTTGTCAGAGTAGCTTGCCATGAAGTCTGGCACTGACCAAGTGTCACCTCCTCCTCTGACGATAGCGTCTCGGATCACTTCGTTGAGGTCAACAACGTTCTGTGGTCCCAGCTTTGTAACATCACGCCCTTCAATGCAGAATTTACCATACTCATCGAGGTCACCAACTTCAGACATAGTTCTGATGCTGTCATACCATTGGTGTTCGCTAAACCTCGATTTTGTAGGTTCATCTGTTTGCCCCGACCCTTCAGTAGCACCTGAACCGTCCTTCTTGTGCTCAGGAGGCTCCATATCGACGTCATCAGATGTGGGACTATCAGCCTCGAGCGAAGCTCGGACGGCCTTTAGCACTTTTCTGACTTCATCTCTCTTCTCATGTTCACATTCAAGATGGCCATGTTTGGTGCTACCGCAATACAAGCACACATTGACATCCTCAGAGACAGTGAAGAGTTTTCCCAACGCATCCAAAAGTTGTTGTCTCCCCGACATCTCTGATTCCCTGACCACATCAGTGGGATCGTTTGCTGGCTCATCAGCTTCCTCCTCCCCAGGGTGAGCCGAAGGCTCGTCACCTGGCTTGGCATCGGCATCAGTGCCCATGCTGGCGTCATCCCCTGTGATGTTGTTCTTCCTGCGATAATGAGAAAATACCTGATCCTTCTCCCATTCCGTGAGGCAGCTGAAATTGGCCAGCGATTCATATCCGGGGATTGCGTGGATGATCTTCATGACCCTCTCGGCTTCTGCGGTTTGCAGTGTGCAGTCGAAGGATCCCCGTCTCTTGTCATTGATGGTGCTTGAGGTTCTTGATGTCGATGTGAACTGAGCCAATGCCTTTTCCAATCCATTGAGATATTCAGCTGGATCAACACTGGCATTGAAAACATCAACAACTCCTTTGGCCATATTGGCCACATCCAAGACACCAAGCCAGAATTCGATGATATCTCCA